GGGAGGTTGAGGCAGGAGGATTGCCACAAGTTCAAAATCAGCCTGGGATATACAGTGAGTTTAGTACTAGCCTGAACTACATAGCAAGACCTTGTCTCAAAAAAATAAAGAAATAAAATAATGTGAGGGCTGGCCAAATAGCTCAGCGGATTAAAGCGCCTGTAAGCAGGCGCAGGGGCTGGGGGGTTGATCCCTGGGCCTGCCAAGCTGGCCCTGCCCGGGGGTATGCTGAGACTGAGATGGTAATTGAGACTGGGCATGGTGGTGTGTGCCTGTAATTCCAGCTCTTGGGAAGCTATAAACAGGCAGATCACAATGAGTCTGATCTAGTAGCGAGATCCTGAACACCCTGTAGACCCTTCCCTAAAATACAAAGAAAGAAAATAATGTAGAATACAAATTTAACAATGATCCTAATACTCTCACTGTCATATGCCAGCAGCTAGCGGTAGCTTTCCAAACCTCTACCAAAACATGTAAATAATCATAGTGAAAATTCTTTCATTTTTTCCAGTATTGAGGATTGAACCCAGACGTTCATGCATGCTAAGCAAATGGTCCATTGCTAAGCTACATCTCTAACCCCTTTTTAACAACCGTTTTTGAGGCAGGATCTTACATGGTTCAGGCTAGCCTTGAACTCTGGATCTTCCTTCCTCGTCTTCCCAAGTGTGTGCCACCATGCCCAACAAAAATTTCATTTTCCTTATTTTTGTGGTACTTGGAATTGAACTCAGGGCTGTAAATTGAACTTGCACTAAGCTAGATCCTGAACTCTTTTAAAACCTCCCCCCTCAGCCTCCCCAAAGTGCTGCCTCATACCTGGCTCCAACATGTATCTTATTTGGAGCCGTATCTATTACCAATTCCACGTATACACGACTCCCTTCAAGACTCTGGCATGGGTCCCGTCTAGAATGCCCTTCCCCACTCTTCTATGTGTAGGCAGATCCCTACAGCTTTCTGTTTGGGCTCATATCTACATGTCCCCCCGAGGCTACGCATGCACAGGCTGTGGGAGGTGGCTGGACAGGGCGAGTGATGCTGGACTAAGGGTGCAGCACTACATTATTCCCGACTGAGGGAGCTTAGCTCTGAGTCTAGGTAACAGGAAGGCCCACGTGGTGCGAAAGGCTTGCAGCCTGGACCACAGAATGCAGATGGAAGGCTCCCAGGCTGCTGCACGCTGCATTCTGCTGCCCCACCAAGAATTCGCTCTTGCGATGTCCCTTTGCCTTTCAGCCAGCGACTTGAATCTCTACAAACTGAGCCAACATTAAGCTTTCCTCTTATAATCTGTAGGTGTTGGGTATTGTATCTCAGAGATGAGAAAGTAACTTTCTGTGACTTTTCTTAAGAAAATAGCCTTTCTGGGGGCTGGAGAGATGGCTCAGTGGTCTAAAGCACCTACTTGAAACAAGCTTGGCAAAGCACAGGGACCTCGGTTCGATCCCCAGCACCACATGCCAGCCAGACCTGCCCCCTGGTGGGCTGAGCTGGCCACACACACACAC